GGGCTCCATGGGGTTTAAACACTGGCAGAGCAGAGTCTCTGTGACAGCATCAGCCTGCTATGTGTGTGACTGTGAGAGGACTTGTATATGTGCATGTGTAGGATGTGTCTCCCTCGTATGCGTCACACGTGAGCACACACTCACCAACAGGGGGTGGCGGTTGTGTAAGGAGTGCACTCACCGTGGGCGTCTGGAGTGAAATGGATATCTGGCAGAGTGGGTGTTATTGCACTGTTAGCTGCACAGTCTTAGCAAGAGAGGAACAGAGCATCATTGTATTGGGTCACAATGAGCAGAGCCTTTGCTTTGAGCTGGAAGGGATCTCTTAAAAGTGAGTGGGAGTGGGCCCCCTCTTTTGCAAATGTCCAAATGTATGTGAGACAGTAAGGGATAGAGGCAATATGAACATTATGTAAACCAATTCAAAAGATGCACCAGTTTTCACATTAAATATTGAACATATTTTGCTGGTGTTGCCTAAATACACAGAAAGTCAAGATAAATTGGCCATCTCCAAGGATAAGAGAGAGTTGTATAGTTGTATAGTCAAGAAGGTACGGAAGCCGAGAGGGGTGGCCTTTTTTGGTTTGTTGTGACTTTTTTTTGTGTTGTCGCATTTGTATTTGTTGCGGCATTTGCGTTTGTTGCGACCCCTCTCGGCTTCCGTAAGAAGGGCATCAGGTATCTCTTTGATAAATGCCAAATTGCTTTGATAAAGTGACAACTTTGGCCATGCTTGAAGGATAAAAGAAACAAACCAATGCTTTGTAATGTTCAAATGCACAGCACTTTCAACACTACTCATTTTGTCATGGCACTTCTCAAAATCTCTATCTGCCAATCAGTCTCTTTATCTCTTTTTGCAAGTGGTTCATCCAGATTAGGCTACAGACTGTCTATAATCTCAGATTACACCTTTTGGCAGACTGCAGATCGGGCAACTCTGGACGTACTGACCTCCAGACTGAGTGTCCACTGCAGCCTTCTCATCTGGATCTAGTCTTTCCCTTGAGTTTTAATGAGTGAGGAAGGACAATCAAAATTATGAATGGCATTCTGGACATTTAAAATTGATAAAGAAATTCTGTACTTTCATATAGACCATTACAGTGAATATAACTGTCAGATTAGAATTCACAATTCAGGTAGAATAAAATATGAGATGTGATTTATTTTACAAATTGAAAAATATTTGCTGGTACTTATGGGTAAATATTAGTTGTATTAATTCTTAGGACTTGATTATTGATCTTATTTGTCTCTCTCCAAAAAAAAAAAAAAAGAAATAAAAAATTAGATCACAAGTTACATCCTTCAATTCTCAATAACTTTACTCAATAACAAAACCCTTCTGTGGACATGATTTTTTGGTTCACATTTGATAACATATATATATCCTCTGACCCATAGCCCTGCCATGACAAAACATTGGGAGGCTGAGCTGGAGGCGCTAAAGGGAAACAACGCTAAACTCACGGCGGCGCTGCTCGAGTCTACAGCCAACGTCAAACAGTGGAAACAACAGCTGGCCGCATACCAGGAGGAGGCTGAGAGACTACACAAACGGGTGAGAAAGATTGTGGAGATGAATATAACAGATATATCAGAAACATGTCAAGAAATTACAAAGCTTGTCTATTTTAAATTCTGAATCAATCTAAGACAAATGGTTGAAATGTCTTGCCCAAAGGACACAACAGCAGTATACATTGCAAGCTTTAATTAAGACATGGGTCTTGTTAATGGGACATTATACTTATTCAGCTATAAAGCTATTGAGTCTTGTCTTTTTTCAAATGATGTTGTTATGGGTTCAGTGAAATAACATTTTACAGTCATTATTACCTCCGCCAAGGAGGTTATGTTTTTGCCGGCGTTTGTCTGTTTGTGTTTTTGTTTGTTTGTTTGTTTGTCTGTTAGCAACATAACTCAAAAAGTTATGGACTGATTTTGATGAAATTTTCAGAATTTGTTGGAAATGTGAAAAGGAAGAACTGATTTCATTTTGGGGGTGATCCGGAAGAAATCCTGGATTCTGGATCACTTTGAAATTTTAGTTAACATTGTGGTAAATTGGGCCAAAATTTTTGTTTCTCAATATCTCTCTATAATTATTGACCAAACCCCATGAAATTTGACTCAGGGATGGACAATGGGATCCTATTTCATATTCCAAAGGCTGATCCGGATCTGATCCAGAAGACTGATTTTATCGCAATTTATATAAAAAATGGGGGTAGTCCTTGGCGGAGGTCTGCGCTCTCTGAGTGCTTTTCTAGTTGTTTTTACATTTGACTGTGTTTCATTACCCAACAGGTAACAGAGCTTGAATGTCAAAGCAACCAAACACCTGTGATCAAATCCCAGAAGACTGAACTGAACCAAACCATAGAAGAATTAGAGGCCACATTAAGGGATAAAGAAGAGGTGCGTCATATTATAAAACACACAAGATCAGTTTAATAACTCTGTTTTACATGTCATGCTTTTATATTTTCTCAGGAAATGGAAAAGCTAAAAGAGGAACTTGAAAACATGAATGATCTTATGGAGCAGAAAGACACCCTTACTCAGAAACTCGAGGTAAGTTTTTTGCTTTCAATATTAGATAGTAATACAAAAATGTCATTGTCAGTGTCAGATGTCATATTTGTAGAGTCCTGGAGGGAAGTCATTCACCGTATTTGACGTATCCTTCAACATGTGCCACGGGGCAACTTGTCAGTGAGTAGTGGGTGACTGTAGTGCAGTGCCCAGTGTTCCATCTCCAGAAATTGAGCCAGGAACATATACTGGACATAGCTAAGGTGCAAGCCACCGCATTCCAAATAGGAAGTTCGCATGCTGGCTCTTCTGGCTCCTACTGACTCTGGCTCCCATTGACTTGCATTGGAATATTGTCGCCCCTCTCTCTGTAACTGCTGCAGTGAGCCTCGTCATTTTGGTCTTAAAATGTCTGTGTTAACCCTCCACATGATCCTGGTATTTTTATTTCACTGTTTTGTCTGTTATTAAATTCCTAATATGACAAATTTGCCCCTGTAACCACTAGCATCATGTGCTCCATTTGAATGGAGCTAAATGCTATTTCATACAGTCTATGTCCAGGAACTACTATCACATAAAGCATCTTTGGGTATCTTAGAAAAATGTTATGTTGAAGGGGGAGACTGGAACACCCGATTCAAACTTCACACAGGAAGATCACACCTGACCTCAAATTTAAATCATTAAGAAATTGAAAGAAAGGAGTTTTAATCAAAGGTCTGTGGGTCTCTACTGAATATCAAAGTGAAAGATAACTCCATGTCTGTTATGGTTTTGTGTCTCAGGAAACAGAGTTGCGCAGTCGAGTTCTGGAGGAGCAGTTGGCCGGAGCTGAGCAGCGATTGGAGGAGAACCAGGAAGAGCAGGAAAACTTCAGAAAGAGCCTGAGGACGCTGCTGGAGCTTCTGGATGGAAAGATCTTTGAGTTGACGGAGCTGAGAGACACTTTGGCACGACTCATAGAGGAGTCCAGCTAGAGAACTGCTGTATTACACCATAGAGACAGAAACAGCCATACAAATCTATACATAAACCCTGGTAACTAACACCTAAATACACTGCCCTGGTTCATATAGCGATTGAAATGGGTAGTACTTTGTTTTTTAATGAACATATAGGTAGCTTTAGACATCACCTCATTACTGCCTTCTCATTGGCTATAGAGTGGGTGTAACCTTGATTCTAATTGATCTTGAATGTCACACTTGAACGTGGATGGCTGAGTTGATTTACATTATTTCCTACACAGTTTTGATTTGAGAACTGTGCCTATGTGCCATCTGCTGTTTGTTTGGGAGAGCAGCGTGTCAGCTTACCCCAGTTTTCTTCTCCATCAAGGGGGTTTGTCCCAAGTCAAAATGGAAATAATTACAGTTTAGATTCAACGGACTGTGCCAAAGCTGCTGAATCCTCCCGAACATTGTCATCTTGCAAGCAGATTCTTCAATCCAAAGTGACTTGACGTTACAGAGCAGAGTGGTGGACAGTGTGAGAAGCCAGCCAGGAGGACACAAGAGACATTACTAGACAAACTGTAATGTACATCGAATAGGAAGTTTGACTGAGGCATTGGTCACATCACACATACATTTTCAAGTGGCATGTTGTAGATTTGACTATCCAGACGGCTTCCACAGCTATCACAGACGACTGAGCTGTCTTCCTGCCAAACTCAGTGTGGTGTGTTAAAAAAGAAAACAAAAAAACAAGGCCTTTTTGACATAATTTTAAAGTGTGCCTTGAGAGCACATGTAAGTGGACTTGTTTGTATATAATGTAGTGTGGCTGTGAAGTGTGTTTTTGTGCCGTCAAGACGAGATCAAGGCCTGTACTTTCACACACACTCCATGCACTGAGCAATATCGGACAAGCTCTCCTATATATCTAACACTATCAGGTATTCTACTCAGCGAACTCATGTTGTAGATTATTTCTTATTTAGATTCAACTCAGATCTGACCCCTCGCCCTTCCTATCTATTGTCCAACTGAAAGTGTACTACTGTTGACCGCGATCCTGTGTGGCAGCCCCGAGCGGTCCAAGAGAAAGTGAAGGGCTTAAAGAGCATCATCTTTGCCTCCACAGCGCCCAGACGATTCACACACGCGTACATACAATTGTACTTTTATTTCTTATTTGTTTTTTACACTGACTATAATTATAATATGGTGGATTAATATATCGCTATTGCACATTTTTTACTCATGTTGTAAATGAAGTGAGGAAAATGGCAATTGTGTAACTGGGTGTAGCATTGTTTGTAATGACAATGTAAGGATAAGTTCTGTGTAGAAGTTCTCAACACAAATTTGCAATGTAAAAATTTGAAATGAGGTGAAAATTTTGTACTCACTCTCTTTGAATCCTAATTAAATGCCCCCCTTGCCCTCATCTACAAGTTAAGCCCAATAATGGCCCTGATACATTTTTTACTGTTTACTGATGATGTTCCATTATCTGATAAAAATAATTTAAAAATATTACAATACTCACTGTACTCAAATGTAGGGATTTGTAATGGTGGCACATGTTTATTGTCTGTTTTCAGATGATAAAAAGTTATACAAAATGAAATGTTCTCATCATAAAATATTTATTGTTTAACTTTGACAGTCAAATGGCAAAGATGAGATATCCTATTATAAATGCTCTTGTTAATGAATGCCTTTGTACAGTAGTGAATAAGCTTTTCATTCTCCTGTTTTGTAACTGATGGTATTCAATGTAGGTATCATTATTATTATTATTATTATTATTATTAATATTGTATTTAGAGGTATGAAAAGACTGCAATATTTTTGACTATTTAAAGTAATTTTGAACTATTTAAAGAGGTACCTCAGGCTATGATGATGTAAGATGGGTGGGTTGTGCGTTGTGCGAGGTGAATGGACATTAACGCTGGTGCTTCAGCCAAACTAAATTCTTTGTTGAACTCAGACAAAGACAATGCCTACAATTGGGCTGTGTACGCTCTTCTGTGAACTATATGAAATGCTATGTTTTATATTCAAATACAAACCACAGAATTAAGTGTCAAGTTTGTATTGTCATTTTTCCTTTTTATTCTTTGCTTAGCATTAGATTTGAATCCAGTGCAGGGTCAAAGTGCACATAAAACCATACTGGCCAACAGTACTTGAGTGACTCTCTTATGCAGGTATAGCAGGTTTGGTTTCGCTTTGGAAAGATAAAGCACATGAATAAAACAATTACATATAAACACAAACAGCTGGTGAATAAGCATTTACAGTAAACCTGTTGTAGTATACGTATTTATACAGCACATTTTACAAGTGTTGAGAATGGATTTTGATCATTGTCACACTGTGATATTATTAACTAGTTGTTTTTCAAACTTCATCAAAAAACATTTTGTACGGGTGTACAACATATAAAAAGTGCCTCACCTTTGCAGTACAACACAAATTGTTACGTTCTTCTTCTACAGAGTACTGTATCAAAGGTAAGCCATCAATTAATCAAAACCACATTAAAAACATAGTTGAGTTTGAGTCCATAGACTCGATTGGTGCTTTAAAAATAAAGATACTTTAAATATTACTAAATAATTCAAAGTTTGGGGATAGCCTGTAATTAACTTGTGCAAAATCTTTGAGATCGTGAGTCCATGTGTGAATTTCTCACTCGTAGGACTCGTGAGTAGAAAACCTCCCACTGTGTGCATCTGCCCACAGAGCACTGGGAGGCATTAGCAAACATATAACTGGAAAGGCAAAGTGAATAAGATGGCAAACAAAATCGTATCAATCACTGCTGCCTGCTCCACACCCCACACACCCCCTGGAGCTCAGAGTATAAGCTCCCACATACGATTCATCATTCAAAATCGCGTGACTGTCTTCACAGCTCTGTCATGACTATCCCACCAGAAAATGTGGTTCAGAAAACACTGACAGGTCCTGCACTGCACTGTACTCTCCTCTGTGGCTCCTCCACTTCAGTCAGAGGAGTGTGGCATCAGATGCTTAACTCATTGTGACAATCCATATCTCCCTTTGCCTTGGCCATATGCTACGCTTGAACAGACGGGTCAATAAATATTCTCCCCTCACACATACCGGACGTGAGAGCTGGGGCAGCTGAAGGCCACCAGAGGACAGAGGGGGGAAGGGCATTGGCATTAATCAGCTTTAAATGAGATTTAAAGCCCCTGCAATGTCTTTATAGACCACTACTGTCTGTCAGCCTTCAACTTAACCACATGTCAAAATGAAACAGATGTGAATTTTGCTCATGAGAAGAAATACTGAAGAAGGGATAGTGACTAATCATTGCAAATGCAAAAATCAAATATACCGGTACTATAATAAAGAATTTTATTCACCCCTCCCTTGAGCATAGTTGTTATTTTAAATGAGGCTTCATGTCAGTGTTATGTACCACACAGGTTTCTTTATGGTGAAGAACATATTGTTTAAAAGACATTGGTGCATATGCTGTTAATGGTATTATGGTGAAAGAAAAACATGTGTAGACAGACACCATATATGCTCTGCATGTGCTTTAGTGAAAGCTACAGTGTGCAGTACCAGTGATCTGGTGATTGTGGCTTATGATCCTTAGCTTTCCCATTCAGGGCCCACAGACCCCTCATCATCGCTGTCCGACTCTGGTGAGGCCTCTTTGATGCGCCGCAGTGCATCATGGATGCTTTTGGTGAGAGGATCTGTGGGAGCAGCTAACTCCTGATCCTTTCTGTCTTTCTGTGGAACACGCCTCAGTTTGACCCCTTTACGAATCTGGGCCAAGATGCTGTTTGCATCATCATTAGATTTTGCTGGAGGCATGGATCTCTGATCAACCTTCTTTAGGTGAAAGCTGCCTCTTTTTAAAGATGCTAACACTTCATCCATTGGAGAGCTTACTGCAAATAGAAAGAATACATGTTGAACTAACAAATACACAAAACTGTATATAAATAATCACTGTATGTTTCTTAATACCTCTTCGGCTCTGGGTTTCAAACTCTGTCTTCCTGAGTTTTTTTCGTGCACTGACCAACTGACTACTGTCAAAGAAGCGTGGCACAAAGGGGCCGAGGGGGGAAAGAGAAGAGTCTTCTGTGTCACTATGAGCATTCTTCTCTCTTGGGCCAGAGTTAGGTGATGGAGAGGTCTCCTCTTTGGAAGGTGGAGGGGGAGGAGGTGGGGGCGGAGGTGGAGGGGAGATGGGAGATGCCAGTAAAGAGGACAGAGAGCAGGGGGAGCAGGATGAATCCACAGAACAGGGCACGGGGACCAGCGGGAGACATGTGGTGAGCGACGAGACTGGCTGAGTAGTCAGGGTGGGGCTGGGGTCTGTCTGAACACTGGTGCTCTGGTACAGCGGCTCTGCTTCATCCTTACTGCTCTCTGTCCTTCCTCTATCTCTTCTTCTGCTGTGAGGAACACGCAGTCGAGTCGACTTCAGAATGACCTGACCTGGATACCTCTGTAGGAGAACATATATAGGTAAAGCATTTTAACCATAAGAAAACAAATGAAAGTTGAGAATGTACAAACCTGTTTAAAAGTCCGTAATCTCTCAAGCGTTTTTTGTCTTTCGTGATTTACTCTGCTATTTTTCCTCTCATCATCTTCCACTTCCTTGTTTCTTATCTAATTTATACAAAAAGTCATTGCAATCATTCATGCTATTCAATGCTGTCTGTATTTGTCCATAGTACCTTTTGAGGCATAAGGTCTTTTTGAAGTCCCTGCTGCTTCTCCTTGTGATTAAACATACAAATATCCTGCGGACCAACAAAAAAAAAAAAACATATAAAAAAAAGTTTCAGGACATATCATACCAAGAAATAGTTTGGTAAAGAATATACCTTTTTGTTTTTAAGATAAGAGCGCTTTGCACTGATGCGCCCTCTTCTGGTTTCCAGCTGCCGAGCACTGTCCTGTAGTCTTCTTATCACCTCCTTCTCTTCAGTGTCAACTTCTGTTATATCATCTGCACTTTCAAAGGTGTCATAGTAGACCACTTCATCCTGACACTCTGCAATTATACATATTAAATGATGTGAGCCCAGTTTCTCATGGATTATTCTCACATGTACAAAGGCTGGATTTCTAAATTATGAATCTGGGTTAATTGAGACCACATTGGCTAAATCATTTTAGACTGGAGGCACAATCTGAAACATTCATCTGAATGTGAACATATTCAGATTTGGCCAGAATGTTTTCAGATTTTGCCAGAGTCATACCCCACAATACAAGTAAACTGTGTGATTGGACATGTACCTGCCATCTGTCTCTGGATGCTCTCCAGCTGAGCAGTGAGGAGCAGCTCTTCACACTGGAGGATTTCAGCTTGGATGTCATACAACTGCAGCTGAAGTTCATAATACTGCCTTTCCATGTGGTCTAAAAGGGCCATTGCGTCCTCACTCCTGCAAAGGCTCTGCATCTGAATATACACAAAGTAAAATGTAGATTCCTCAGGTTCATTGATCATTTGGTGCTTTGCTGTTGACTTACCTCTTCTTTCAGTGTGTATTTCCTCTGCTCCAAAGAGATCTCTCTGGCTCTCTGCAGTTGAAGAGTTTCTTTAGCTACAGAATAGCGTAGTCTTTCCATGCGCTCCACTGCTGCTGTCCACGAGGCTTTACCAAATTTACGCTGGTCTAACTTCATTCGTTCATAAACTCCTGCACAAAAAATCATATAAATATCTTGAAAAAGGGGAACACCTATTGGGCATGCTGAAACATTACACCATACGAGCACATAACACTAAATGTTTTGATAGACTGTAGTGTAGGGATATACAGTGGAGTAACTGCATAATAAATCTCCTGTTAGAACTGTTTGATCAATAGGTTGTCCTTGTTCCCTCGTATGTGTGTCAAAGCACTGCCTCATTAATACAAAATCACTTTTGCCCTGAGTTCAAATCCACACAGGTCAATAGCTGCAGAGTGTCAGTGTGACAAGTGCAAGTATGTTTATTCTTCTTCAGAGACATTGGCAGCGACAGTAATGGCACCCTGTACCTTTCTGAGCTCTGGCAGTGATCTCAAAGTATTTAACAGTGAAGTCCTGGATGTTCAGGACAGCCTCCTGAGCCTTCTTCTGCCAGTCACAGTCCTCCTTTTTAAGAACTTCAACTCTCCGTGGTCCCAAATAATCATTTGCCAATGAAATCTAAAAAAAAAAAAAAAAACCCACAGACATGTGTTTCATTTGAAAGTATGTAAATGTCCCAGAAACTTGAAATAAACAAAAAACTTTTAAAAATTACAAAAGAAAGAAACAACTTCACAACCGACACTAACCTATTCTATATTTCTTTCTATTATTTACATCAAGAGATAACATTTTAGGACTTTAAAAGATTGTGTAGAGTGTAGTAGATTCTAGGACAGAAACAACTGACCAAGTAAATGAATTTCAGCATTTACAATTATCAACTACTTTTAGGTCAGGCCAACAGTTTCCATGTCTTTACAATGTGTGTATTAAGGTATACATTTGCATATAAACACAGTGTGGGCATGTAAATGTATTGCCTCTACTTAAAGAGCTCAAAGTACCCCTCAACGTGTGGGTTACAACCTTCTCTTCTTTCCCTCAGTTGCATAGGTGGTTCCATGGTGTAATGGTTAGCACTCTGGACTCTGAATCCAGCGATCCGAGTTCAAATCTCGGTGGGACCTAACTTTTTTTTCCTGTTACAATGATAATTTACCAATAATTTCTAACATCCCTAATGTACAACAAAGTTAAATCAGAATAAACACTAATGTGATGCAAAGTCAAACAATGGCTTCTAATATCTGAATGATAAGGATGTCAATTCAATAATGTTGCTTCTCTTAACAATTGCAGTCTCCTTGCTGGTTTAGGCTTAAATGTATATGATGAGTCACAATACTCAAAATACTCAAAGTATAGCATTGCTTCCCAAAATGAAGTGCAAAAAACAGCTATCAAACCTAGTTGTTTTACAGTATAAAAACATAAGCTAGTGGCCCACCAAAGTCCATATGACTATGTGCATCAATCAGTACTATTATCATCACTACCATTTTGTTCCATCTTGTTTACCTTGATCTGCTGTCTGCGTAGCATAGCTAGCTCCCTCATGTCTCTGAATGGCTGCAGGAGGTACTGGTACAGCTGAGTGGAAGCCTCCAGTAAACCGCCAAATGCCTGGTCCTCCTCTTCATACAAGCCTAGCAGATCCACCATGCTGTCTGTGCTCCCGTGCCTCTCCAGTAGCTTTAGCACCAACAGAAAGCACAGCGTTATCACACACATCGTTTATTCATGTATTCATTTGTTTATTCATGTTCAGTCTACACACTATAGTGGTGGTAGACACAAGGGTCATCTCACAATGATTAATTCAAATAGTCTCTAAGGAGAATGATAAATTCCTTTATACTGCTCAAAAAATATCAATATTTTTTATAGACAGTTTTAAGCAATAGAAAAGTGGAGGTCTTTATAAGGTTGTTAGGAAGCCCTAGGCCTTTGAAAAGACAAGAATGTATCAACAAGTAACTACAGCACTTTGATCAAGCGAATAGAAGCTCTTATTATTGACTTTTGGACCTAACATCTGCAGGTGAGCTCTGGTGTTCCATGGTGAAATGGTTAGCACTCTGGACTTTGAATCCAGCCATCCGAGTTCAAATCTCTACTGTATTACCTCCGTCAGATGTTTGGAGGCCCGATGCAAAGCCTCTTCATACCCAGACTGCTTGAGCTCACTCAAGCTCTCGTAGTACTCGTCCGAGTCGTCGTTTTCTGTAAACAGCACCTGCGACAGGATCTTCCACCCACAAGTGTCCAGTGCATGGCCAAGGTACTGCTGTAGACTGAAGCACAGCTCCTCCATCTCCGTTTGGGA